CCTGCCGGCCCGAGTGCCCCCTGCTGCTGTAGGTGCGCTCACGTGTGTACACGTAGGTGAGCACACACGTGTTTCCGGGCGCACGGGACCCCCTGAGAAGTCCCAGAGTTTTCCCCCTCCTCGATCGGATAAAGAAAACAAGGCTGCCTCCTTCCTGGGAAAACTTGTTCCTGGGGCAGAGAACAACACGTCTCTTTGTGAAAAGGAAAAGTCAAAACACAACAGCACTCAGTTTCCCCTTCTGCAGAAGAGGTGGAGTAGGCGACCTAGAAGGTCCCCTGCTCCTTAATTAAAGTCTATCCGTTTAAAAATCTCAGCCATGGCTGTGGCTTTAACCTTCCACTCCAATGGACTCGCTCCAAAAGAGAAAACTGAGGCCTGCGAGGAAGGGAAGTACTTTTCCGTACTCCTTAGGAGACACCCTGCTTCAAGGAGCTCGCTCATGCCCAGAATTGAGGCAAGGGCCTGCATAAACAATTGCTACTGAGAAGGTTGGTCAAGGTTGGATAGACTTCTGGGAAGCGAGGTAGAACTGGGGCTATGAGAATGAATTGCATAGGACGAGTGGAGGAAACTGGAGACAGAGTGAATTGCTAAGGAGCAATGCCCACAGGTTCAGCGTTTGCCCGCAGACAAGTGGGTTGTCCCATGCTGCTGAATGAGGAATGTGGGAAATGAGGCTGAAAGGAGGCCAGGCCTTTGGGGAGAATAACGCTACTGTTTATCAGGACCTCATTTTGTGCCAGGCACGACACTAAGCCCTTCCCATACGTCTTAATTTAGCTTGTTTGCATGTAGGTTATAATCCCGGTTGTACAAAGGTGGAAACTGAGGTTTAGAGAGCTGAAGAGACTGGTATACAGACTCATTGACTGGGCTTCAGAGCTATCAGCGCGACATGTAACATGACTGGCAAGCAAGTGACAGTTTTGGAGAGACAGTTGGGGAAGCAGTGGCCTCAGCAGAACAGAGAAGACAAGGGCCGAATGTAGGAGTCATTCCAGCACAGACATTGATTGAAAACCAGGCATTGTCTAGGTGACTTCATCATTCGCGTCTCCTTCATTAATCCTCATTCCAACTCTCCCAGACAGTTCCATGTATCGCCATTCACGTAGATGGATTTTGGAGCTTAGGTATGTAAGATGCTTGCTCAGGCTCTGAGAGCTGCCTGGCATTCATTCTATGATATTATGGGGACCAGCCATGTGACAATCTACTCTGAGAGGCATCTACAATGAGCCATTAGATATCCACTCTGCTCTCCCCTCCATGACAGATTTAACAGAGATTATTCACAAGCTGATGTAGCCTGGATCAGCTGACTGGTTTCTGAGGACGTCTCCAGGAATGCTGCTGTAGAATGAGTAATAGCCACGCAGAGATGTCCACCTTTGCATTTTACATTTGCATTGTTGGGTTTCACCAGACGTGGCACAAGGGGGCTTTAGTCTATGATTGAGTTAAAAAGGCTAAGGGCAGGGAGGGGATTAGCTCACTATTATAACCAGTGGAATCAAAGGGGGTTTTATTAGGAGACAGGAAAGTCAGAGTAAGAGAAGGACCGTGACAGAGGCAACAGTTGTCCAAATAAGGGGTCCGGATGTTAAGGGATGCAGGCACCATCTAGAATAGTGTTTCTCAGCCTGTGGGTCCTGACCCCTCGGGTCACATATTAGATGTCTACATAACAATTCATAACAGTAGCAAAATTACAGTTATGAAGTAGCAATGAAAATAATTTTATGGTTGGGGGGTCACCACAACGTGAGGAACCTATTAAAGGGTTGCAGCATTAGGAAGGTTGAGAACCATTCCTCTAGAAGATTAAAAAGGGAATGAGTTACGCCCTAGAGTCTAGAAGGAATGCAATGTTGGTTTCAGCCTGTAAGATCCATCTCAGGCTCCAGAATGGTAAAATAACATTTTCACGTTGTCTTAAACCACTGTATCTGTACATATCTTTATGTCAGCCAAGTAGGAACAGAATCAGGTACACTATATGACGTCAGTTTGGAGCATCACAACTTTCAAAGCCACCCATCTCGTGAGCATTGCCTGGGTGTGTGGGCTTTCAGAGTCTCTCTCCCGTTGGACTCCAGGCTCCATTAAAGCAAAACTTTTTCTTATTATCTGTATATATCCCCACCCAGGACCTAGCCCAGACTGATAAGTAGTTAGCACTCATCAAATGCTTGTTGAATGGCCACAGGACCCCACTTCCTCTTCTTAGTGCTTCTGTAGGATACACTATGTGATTTCCTCTTAGAGATGAGGAAGATGAAGGTGAGGAGAGCCTAGATTCCCACACTGGCGACTCCGTTCAGATCTAATGGCTATGAGAGTGTCATCCTGAATTACATGGGGATTCCTGTATATCAGGGCCTGCCCCCTAAGGGATCTCGTTCCATTTAGCTCTTACATGGTGGAGAAATAAGATATCCAGGCATTACTTTAACAGCAGTTCTTGTCACTGACGTTTCAACCTCAGAATTTCAACGTTCAGTGTGCAAACTTGCATTTCTCGGTTACAGGACTGTGTGTTCTAACAGCTGCCCTTTCTCGGTGGTTGCCTTTAGACCCTCAAGTCCCTAACTATTTTATCTAAAGTCTGTAAGCAGCCCCTCAAAGATTTTAATAGTCTTTTCTTGGACACCCCCCCCCTTCATGAGTAATATGAGTCAGCCCGAGCTGCCTGCATATGAGTGCACCTTTTTTTTTTTTTTATCTATTTGTGTGTACGTATTTATGTGTGTACACATGTGTATGCATGCAGAAGCCAGAGGTCGGGTTTTCCTTAGTCACTCTCTTCCTAATTTGAGATGCTGTCTGACCAGACCTGAAGCTCACTGACCGAGATAGACTGAGTAGCCAGGAAGTCCCAGGGATCCTGTCTTCGCAACGTCCCCAGCACCGAGGTTACAGGCGGGTACTGCCATGCGTGGCTTTTCTGTACAGCCTCTGGGGATTAAAGTCAGGTCCTCATGATTATGTGGCAAACACTTTACCCTGAGCCATTTCCTCTGCTCCCCAACACATGTCTCTTGAATGACGTTTTCATCCTTAAACTAGTCTTCAGGACCCTGATGCCTGTGTCCTTTCAAAACTCATGAGGCAGGGGAGGGACCTTTGAGGGGTGGTTATGCCAGAGATCAACTGCATGCCACTCCTCAGACATTGTCCACTTGAAACGCTGTCTCACTGTCCTGCAACTTGCTGATTGGGCTAGGATGGCTGGCCAATGAGGCCAAGGGATCCACTTCCCCAATACTGGAGTTACTAGTGCTTGCTACCACTGCTGGCTTTTTACATTTTCTTTAATGTGGGTCTGGATATCAAATTCAGGTCCTTGTGCTTCCAGAAGAAGCGAGAACTTTACCAACTGAGCTCTCTCCCCAGCTCCCACAAAATCTTTCATGTGGGAGCAAGTAATGGACAACTATGCTTTCTACCAAGCTAATGTCCATTTTTCTTCCTTGAGTTGGTTGCCATGCAGAACCATTCTGTCCTGACTCAAAGGCTTAAAGATCTAGAGCCCTGGTTCTCAACCATCCTAATTCTGCAACCCTTTAATACAGTTCCTCATGTTGTGGTGACCCCACCATAGAGTTATTTTGTTGCTACGTTATAACTGTAATTTTGCTACTGTTATGAATTGTAATGTAAGTATCTGATATGCACAATATTGGATAGATGACCTCAGTTGGGGGGGTTGTGACCCACAAGTTGAGACCCACTGGTCCAGATGACTCTGACTCCATCTTCTGCCCCAGATGGCATAATCATTAATTCAAAGATGTATTCAGTTTGTTCAGACTTTGAAGAACCTGACTGCAGGCAAATAATAGGCAACTCCCGTCACTGAATCGTGAAGAACTGAATGAGTAGTTATAAGTCACTTAAGCTTTTAATCCAGAAATAGACGTGACAGAAGGACTCAGGTGTCTGCAACGGAGTCCCAGATCCATGCTTTGGGCCCATCTTTTCCTCCTGCTCCGCATCACATTTGGGATTTCTGCCTCAGCATCTAAGCCCTAGATCTCCACTACAAACACCTATTATCTAGCCCTGGGTCTAGACATGAGAGATCACATCTGGAAGGCAATGGTGCCTCTTCTTTGCCTGCTGGCAGCCTGAGCATGGGTTTCCCAACCAAGGAGCCATTTCTTCCCTGAAGGTTACGCATACTGCTTTGGGGAAACACCCATGGCTCCGATAGGATGGCTCCTCTAGGCAGAAGCAAGGTTCTCGGAGAGTCAAAGAAGACATTATTCTAGTGTCTGCTCACCCTGCTGCCTCCCCGCCTCCCTCTCCCATACACCCTGCCCTTGGGTCGCCCAAGCTAGGCTCACTCCTGCTAGACAACTCTCGTGAACTCTCCTGTCCCTTACTGATGTGTGGCTCTGGCTGGGGAGACGTGAACAAATGTCTTTCACCCTGGAAAAGATACTGAGGGCAGACTCAGGAAAATGATCCCACCCAAGTCGGGCTTGGTAGACCAGTGACTTTATTGGGGTTGCTTCCGTGGGATTCAAAGACAGCTGCCTCACCGAAGAGCCAGCTCAGCACAGGTCACAACTCATGCAAGCTGCGTCCCTGGAGCTCCGCGCCCATCCCCAGCCTCCAGCAACTGTTTTCTCTGAGCACAAAAGCCTTGTAAAGTTGGCTTAGCTTTCTGAGTCTTCTCAGGTGCCCTTCTCCCTCCAGGAGGGAATGGTTTAGTCTGGAGAAAATAGCTACACATTTACTCTTTCTTAGAATACTTTCTGCCTTTGCTTCTTTTCCATGCAGTGGGCTGAAATCAGCGTTGTCCAATAGAATTCTCTGCAGCAGTAGAGCTGGTGTGGGAGGGGGGAAGTATGTGGGGGGGGAGCACATGTTGTGGATAGTACAAACACCATGCACAGATGTGTAGAAGCCAGAGAGGAACATCAGATATCCTTCTTTCTCATGCCATCTTCTTCCCTTGAGTCAGGATCTCTCGTTGATCCTAAAGCTCGGAGTTTTTCAGCTAGACCAGCTGACCAGCAAGCCCCGAGGATCTAGCTGCCTCCTGCCCCACCCCACCCCCAAAGGTGGAGTTATAGATGTGTGCTGCCAAGCCCTGGCTTTTCATGTGGGTGCTTAAGATCCAAACTTGGGTATTTCATGCCTGTGTAGCAAGTATTCCAACCCACAGAGTCAACTCCTCAGCTCCAGCTAAACAAAACATCACTCCTTTTTTTTTTTTACATTTACTTATTTATTTAGTGTGTGTGTGTGTGTGTGTGTGTGCGCGCGCGCGCGCGCTCGCGCGCGCGCGCGCGATACCAACATATGTGCCACAACATGCATGGGGAACTCAGAGCACAACTTTAGGGAGAGCTGATTCTCTCCTTTCACCTTGTAGGTTCCAGGGACTGTACTCAGGTCATCAAGATGGGTAGCAAGCTCCCTTTCCCACTGAGCCACCTTCCCAGCTCCTACAAGCCATTTGTAAATGACCATGGAGCACTGGGAAGTTGCTAATATGACTAAGGTACTAAATATTAATCTGATCTCATTTAAACTTAAATAGTCACAAATAACTTGGTCATCTTATTGGTCAAAGCAGGCTTACACAGCACCTCACCCTATCACCTTTAGATGAAATAATTCCCCTTGCCTTTGATCTGCTCCAGTTGGAAGGGTCTAGATCCAGGTAGTTATCCTTTTTAGTTTTTTTTTTAGTTATCCTTGGTGGCTGACATTAGCCTTCAGATGCCTGGCCAAGTCATAAGACAAAAAAAATCCTGCTGTCAAATTACTCAGTCACAGTGGTTCAGGCCTCTAACCTCAGCTATGCGGGCACTGGAGCAACAAAATTGTAAGTTTGAATCCAGTCTGGGTAACTTAGACTTTAATGTCAAAAGAAAAAAAGGCTAGGGAAGATACACTTAATAAAGCACTTACTTCGAATATGCACAGCCCTGGGCTTAACACCCAATACTGGAAAACAAACAACAACAACAACAACAACAACAACAACAAAAAACCCATAACTTTTATTTATATATATTTTTTAATCACACACCTAGTTGTTGGTGACCCTTGTTCTGGGAGGCCCTCGACATCTCAGCTGCTGCTGCTGCTGCTGCTGCTGCTGCTGCTGCTGCTGCTGCTGTTGCTGCTGCTGCTGCTGCTGCTGCTGGGAGATGCTTGAACTGTTGTCACCGTCAGAGCTCCCAATGGAAGCAGCAGCATGCCATCTCCAGGGGCCCGAGCCGAGGTGACACAGCCACGCTGTATCTGAGTAGGCGACACAGATCTGGAGGCAACCTTCCCCATCTGACTCCACTGGAGACCTCCAGTTCTTCAAATCAAGGAGAGAAAGAAGCTGGAGGAAGAGGAGGCAGCCGGTAGAGTCAGACGCAGTCCATGGAAGCACTGACGGGCACCAGGTCTACAAAGAGCCCGGAAGTAGTCCTGCTGGGCACCCTGTGCTTGGCCTGCTGCACGGTGTGACTCAGGATATACTAGAGACGGGCAGTGTAGACGGTAGAGCCAGACCACTCAAACATCTTGGCATCAGAGGGAGGCATCGCTGAGGTTCGAGGCCTGAAGGGTCTGAAAAAGAGAACAGGAACTTCCTGCCGGTTCTAGTCAGACATTAAATGGTCAAATAATTCCACCAAGTTTATCGTGTCTTTATGATGTCACTATATGGCCAAACATAACAAAGGCCCCAAATAAGTGAGTGTTCCATGTGTTATAATTTTAAAACGGCGGGAAGGAGTCACGCCATACAACAGGGCTCACATGGGAGGTTTATTGAAAGAGGAGAGAAGGGGCAGAGACCGGCCCCTGGGGATAAGAGCAGTGGAAGAGAAAGAGACAGGAGGTGGGCCAGGCCTGCCTTTTATAAGGAAAGGTAGCCAATGTGCATAGGGGATGCTCTTAGTGGCTGTCGGGACCCTAAGGGCAGGCCAGTACAGATGCCTGAATGCTCTATAAAAATGTAAGCCCAGGAGAAATGGGTACACGCACCTAGATGGGCCTCAGAGACTGGCAAAGGTTTGGGCATGGTTTTAATTTTAGCATGTACAAGGCCAATACATTTTAGAAGGTATCAAAGATCCTTCTAAAAGTGGAAGAGATGGTTTTCTAACAAACAAACGTGGGGCTGGGCCTTAGGGAACAGGAATGCTGTTTCCCGAAGCTCGAAGTTCTCAAGGGAAGACAGGCCAGAAGAGATGGGTGGCGCTGGACCCCGACAAATGCCTATCAGAGGTGTTTTGTTTTTTTCATTCCCAAGGGACGAACAAAAAGGATAACACCTCTGTATTCCTGCAGAGATTTATGGCTCATTAAGGGCTGTCACAGATACTTATTGCCAGGCTTAATTACTCTTCCCGCCCCATCCCCCCATCCCAGCAGGGAGGCGTCTACCGAGAAAACCAGTGCTCAGAGCCGCAGTGGGTGCCCCAGGTCACACAGCTACCAAGCAGCAGCAGGCTGGCTTGGGAGTCCTTCAGTCCCACGGCCATGTGTCTGGGCCTCCTTCCCTGCCTGTGGCCTCTCTAAACTGAAACCAGGCTCTTTCAGGGGCCACACCCAGCTCCTCCCGCACTGACTCATTGGGAGGGGATGGGGGCTGGTTCTTTGCTCCCCAGAGCCAGTTTCTGGCCTGGAAGGCACCACTCTCTCCTGCCCTGAAAACAGGGCCCTTCATCTCTCCAGCCTTGTTTTCTCTTTGTCTGAGCTGTTAGAAATAAAGGCGGGCGTTCTGCTGAGACTAAATGGGAGCCACTGCGGGACAGCCTTGCCCCCCCTCCCCCTCCGGGCACTCCCTGCTCGGCCCTTGGGATTCCCAAGGGACGAAGCCACTGTGGGCTGCAGCAACCAGATACACCCGCGTCTGCCCAGTGCCCTTCCCCAGTCTCTGACCTTTCCTTCGCTTTGGGGCTGGTTCCTCCTCCAGTCAGTAGCTGCTAGGAGAGCAGAGGCGGGTGTACTCAGGTGTGGGTGTGAGGAACAGAGGGCCACATTCTTGAATGCCATTTTTCCTTTACGCTTAGTGACCCAGCTCACAGGTAAACTTGGCCTCACCCTGGTGCTGGCATCCAACCCATCAGATTAACGTTCTCTCCTCTTAAGAAGAGCTGAGAGGTGGGCAGGAGTCCTTGCTGCTGTGGGGAGTTGGGCATGGCCTTTCTGTCAACAGTTGAAGCTAAGCTAGAAACATCTCTCTCTCCTTCTCCCTCATTCTCCAGCCTCTTTATACCCACCCCTAGCATTTTCAACGCCTTTGCTTGGTCTCCTGGACCCCTGGACCCCCTCTTCTCTGTCTTCTCTACCTTCTAACTTATCCATGGCCCATCATCTCTTCCTTCCCCCCAGGGAAATGGACCAATCTAGTCTCCTACTCACAGTCATTCAATGGGGACAGGTACAGGGACACAATGAAGATGACAGAGTTGTAGTAGTCTGGGCTGTCTGTTGCTGACTGGACAAAAGCCACATGAGAATTTTAGCTGGCCTGCATTTCCCCGGGAGATGGAACACAGTTTAAGATGGGGCTCGTCCCACTCTTGGAGGCCTGTGTTTTTAGATGACGCTCCCTTAACCTACCTTTGGGGAAAAGGCCTTCTTAGTCTAGTGATGTTGCTGTGGACTTGGCTCTGCCATTCACTCCATCCTAAACTCTAAATTGTTGTTCTTCAGTCACACTAAGATGCCTTCCCAGCCATTCCATGTGAATCTGGGCCCTCTCAAATACAGTTTCTCTTCTTCCCACAGTAAATTCTTATTCACCTTTTGGACCCAGGGAAAGCCCTCTCCGGGTCAGTATGTGGTATTGTCAGTACCGTGTACACAGGCATCCCCTGTGTCCATCAGGCTGCTATTCTGTTCTAAGAGGTGGCAGTGTTCAGCCGTCACAGAAGGTGAGTCTCGAACTACTGCAGAGAAGGAAGAACGCGTTCCCCCCACACACACACATCACATGGCAATGGGTGGTCTGCAGGGGGTCAGGGAGGTGTAAAACGGCTCCATGCTCTCCTCCTCAATAGCTGCCTACACTGTTTCTACTCAGACCAAGAGGACTTTGGTAATTGGTTTTCTGTCAACATGACGCAAGCTAGGGTCATCTGCGAAGAAGGGACTTCCTTTGAGAAGATACGACCATTAGACTATCCTGCAGACAAGTCTGTGGGCATTTTCTTGATTCATGGTTGATATGGGAGGGCCCAAACCATTTCAGGTGGTGCCACTCCTGGGCAGGAGGCCCTGTATAAGAGAGCAAGCCAATACTGAGTGTGGTGGTACACACCTTTGATCCCAACACTCTGGAGGCAGAAGCAGGTGGATTTCAATGAGTTCCAGGCCAGCCTGGTTTACAGATTGAGTTCTGGGACAGCCAGGACTATGTAGAAAGATTCTGTCTCAAAAAAATGGGAACAAAAGAAAAAAGAAAGCAAGCCAGTAAACAGCATTCCTCCAGGGCGTCTGTTTTAGTTCCTGTCTCCAGATTCCTGCCTTGAGTTCCCGCCCTAACTTTACTTCACAATGGACTCTAAGAGAAAAATAAACCCTTTTCTCTCCAAGTGGCTTTTGGTCATGGTGTTTATCACTGCAATAGAAAGCAAAGTAGAACCAGGGCTTTGAAGGGGAAGCTTCTCTTATTTATTCCCTGCTGTGCACAGGCCTAGTGGAGGGAATTCCTTCAGAACGGGCAGGCTCGAACCTGCCAGGGAAGGCAGTATCAGTGAGTCTAGCCAGGAGGGGCAGAGAATCAAGCCCAGCCTGTGAGTGGTGGGGTGCTGTGTTCCAGAAATTTCAGTTGTTGGCTGCCTGTCTGCTCTCTAACCTTTCATGGCCCCCTCAAGAGATTGTCAGTGTCTAGGGGGGACTAGAAAGTCTAGGCACTTATCTCTGGTGGAGCTCCCTCCCAACTCTCTTACACACACACACACACACACACACACACTGACTGACACAGACTGACAAAGTCAGGCAATGAGGGTGGGCATCAGAGTCTAGGCCAGAAACATTAGTGGCAGGCAACATATGAATCCTGGCTGTGCCACGCACTGGCTGTGTGACCTTGGGCACAGAATGTGAGCCCTGGCGACTTAGTTTCTCATCTGTTACAGGAATATGATAATAATATTGGCCTCACAGGTCTGCTGTGGGTAGCTAACGATGCGAAGCATGTAAACTATGTTTGGTAAGTACCCAATAAATGGCAATTGTTATTGTTAGTGCTACTGGTTGTGTTATTATCGATAATTTTATATCCATTAAAAACACAGGAACCTTCTGGTTGGAACCTGACTGGCCTGGCAAGGGGCCCAGGGGGAAAAGGGCACACAGATAGGCAGGATAGCACAAAGGTCAGCGCCTCAGAACCTTGGGTCTGGGGTGTGTGGTGAGAACCAGCTACACTGGGGCTAAGAGAAAAGAATTGAGAAGAGGAAGAAGTGAGAGGAGGGGAGAAGCAGAGGGAAAGAGAAAGAAGGGGGTGGTGCTGGTGGTAGGCTGTGGCTAAGTGAGCCAGCTCCAAGGAACAGAAGCCTGCAAACCGGTCTGGGCAGTCCCAAGCCAGGCTGCTTGGGCTGGCATCCAGAGGGAGCAGCCTGGCCCAGCTCAGAGCCCTTGGGTGCTGCCTGAGGCCTCTTCTACCTGGGAGGTGCTGTCAGGGGTCCCACCCCACCCTTCTGGCTCTGGGAAGGAGACAATGGATGCTTTAGAGACAACTGAGGCCCACACTCAGTTGCAGATTTACTTTCTCACCTAAGTCCCTGAGAGGCATGGTTGAAGCCCTTTTCCAGCAAGGGTGCCTGCTGTGGGATGGTCTTTCTGTAGGCTGTGAATATGTGTTGCTACCACTGGTTAATAAAGAAGCTGCTTTGGCCTATGGCAAGACAGGTTAGAGCCAGGCGGGAAATCCAAACAAAGATACAGGGAGACGGGAGGCGGAGTCAAGGGAGCCACTGCAGCCTCCACCCCCACCCCACCCCCACCACCACGGGGAGGGAACAAACCGTAATAGAACACAGGTAAAGCCACCTGACACGTGGCAATACATAGATTAATAAAAATGGGTTAATTTAAGATAAAAGAGTTAGTTAGCAATAAGCCTGAGCCATAGACCAAACAGTTTGTAATTAATATAAGCCTCTGTGTGTTTATTTGGGACTGAGTGGCTGCAGGGCACAGGAAAACTTCCAGCTACAGGATCACTCAATAGGAAAGGGGCAGTCTCTTGAGCAAACTGTGTGTGGAACACTGTCATATCCTCACCTAATCCCATATGCAAAAACTGACTCTAAATGAGTCAGTGGTCTACACATAAACACTAAGCCTTAGGAGAAAGCCCGTCAGCAGAAGATGTTCTTGACACCAGATTTGGCAGTGATTTCTTGGATATGGCACCAGAAGTACGTGTGGAAAAACAGCAACAAGAACAGAAAAAGAAAGTAACCACGTTAAAATGATAAACTTTTGTACACCAAGTGAAAAGTGAAAAGACAGCCCAGAGAAGACAATAAATATTTGCAAATACACAGCCGGGCGGTGGTGGCGCACGCCTTTAATCCCAGCACTCGGGAGGCAGAGCCAGGTGGATCTCTGTGAGTTCGAGGCCAGCC